GCCTTTCAATTTTGATCTAAGTGTATCCTTGGCCACTTCAAATGCATTTTCTTTCATGCCAACATTATAATTTAGCTTAAAATTCTTTATTCTTTGCAGGTCCATGTCATAGATAAAACATTAGCTCACTTTTTCCTAGTTGTCAGCCTCAGAGTTTTTAAGCTGCATGTAGTTTTGGGCAGCTCAAGTGCAGTTTCCATTCTGGAGCTTAATTCCATACTGTGCAAGGAGCTGATGCTCATACAACTGCTTTGTAAGTCAAATATCCAGCTGTGAAAGGAATTGAGCAAAATGAGCCAACATTACGACATGTAACTTGCAGCCCTGATTACAGGTTACAGTACAAGCTACTGCAAGCCTGCAATCCAGTCCCTCCGTAGAAGGACCCTGAGAAGACACCATTTTACACTTGGAACTATGCCCATTTCTCCCCTTCCCTAAGCTCCTCAAATCCATCAAGTGTCTTTTGACATTCTGAAGATTTCTGTATGAGATTTGTAATGTCTACTCTGAATTTAGCCTGCTTTTCTATGTACCATAGTTCATTCTTTTTCACCAAGCTAGCCTTACATGAAACACAATACCTTAAAATTTGCTAAATTGTCTCTTCCAGAAAGATGTATGGTCTTGGCTGGTACAGTCTGATCTTCTGTTAAGTTATCTTTATTATTAAAGTGTGTGTCCAAATTCCCATTTGAATTTGTCTGTCTTTCATTGATTTTTCTTCTGCCTTTCTTCTTCAGATAAGTGTCCAGCATTTTCTGCTCTTTGAGGTATTTATACACTTCAATGATGCTATTTTTTCCAATCTTCTTTTTTGATAAACTTTTGATAAAAGCAGATTAAGCTCTGAAAGTCTCTTACTTGAAGCAAATTTCCCTAACTCTCAGGTCATGGCTTAGTGGTTTTGTTCAGTACCTTTCCTAATGCTTTAATGTCCTTTTAAAACTTGGATATGGAATTTGATGCAATGTCCCAGAACTGGTCTCATTAATATCGTATAAAATAATAAGTGACCTTCATGCTTCTACTCACTCTTTCAATCTTTCCACACCACTGGATAACACAGTAGTGCAGTGAGAACTTTACCATCACAGAGCTGAGTTGCTCGACATGAATTCTGGATCCTTTTTCAGACACAAGTCTTTTTCCTACAACTCTGCCCAGATTCCCAGTTCATATATCTCTTAATATCCTTCTTAACTTTTGGGTTGGAATTTAGGATGTGAGTGCTGATCTAGAGAAGCTGCATCTTGTTTGTGCTGGACTGCTTCTTACTCTTTAACATGTATATCCCACTGTTTAAGGCTTCAGCTTGACCTAACAGTTTCTGACTCAAATATGACTTTTGATAGGTTATGCAGTGTTACGGACTGGTGATTTGGCATGTCTTCCTATCTTAGCCATGAAATTCCAACTTGACAGTCTTTCAGGTATTGATGCAAAGCTTACCTACCCTCAGATTTTAGGTGAATAATGAATAGACCAAAGACAGGAGTAATAACAGTCCTTGTTATTCTAATTATCTATTCATGCCTGGTTTTATGTAATACCTTATCTGAAACAGAAATTTTTACCCTAACCTTGATGGTGTAAATTCGTTTGGCCACAAATAATTTTTTAATGCATCTTTTGACATTTTCAATTTTTTCCCCTGATTCTTGTCTACTACTTCAGCTAACAAATTTCTTTTTAATAGTTTGGGAAGGCTTAATTTACATTGTAAAGATGTTCAGGATGCATTCAGGAAAGAGAAATCAAATACTGCTCAAAGTCTGAAATTGGAAAATTGAAATTGTTTAAATTGTTAAAGTGTTGGTAAGATTTACCAATAGCTTACAGAAACAACACAATAACTACCAGGGAGAGCATTCTTACTGGTAACAGACCAGAAGAGTATGAGGTTATAATCTCTCTCCAGTAAAAGACTTCAGCAGTGGGAAGCCTCTACATGTGAACAAAAATGTACAGCTTTCTTTTTCAGTAATTTAAAGTAGCATGACGTCTTTATGCTAATCACAAGTCCATTGTACCTTACTTTTGAATGCACTTACTGATATTAAAATTCTTGCTGATATTAAATTCTTATTATTATGCCTGTTAGAAAATACATGTACAAAATGTGACAGGTCAGAAATAAATTCCCTCTGGAGGCACACAAAGCCATTCCTAGACTTATGCAATAGTTGTATGTTGAGGACAAAACTCTGTATTAACACTAAAAGGAGCTAAATTCTTAGTTCATGAAAGGAGTGTAACGTTCTCTAACCCTTTAGCCAGAGGCCTAGTTTTCAGAGGCAGTGTGCAATAAAACTGAAGAGCCCTTACTGTGCAGAATAAATTTTTATGTTAATCTGTAAACAGAAAACCCCTTCCTAAAATCCACTGCCTTACTAAGGTCTTACTGTATTACCAAGTCTTGGTCCTCCTTAACTAGATCAGTATTATACAACTCATCTCAGATAGATGAAAGTTTTATTTATCCAATAGTATTCTTGAAATACATGTTTTTGGTTAAAGTTAAATTTATAGGGCAGAATTCTGCAGTACTCAAGTAGTTTTTACTCCTAACACACCAAGATGAGTAAAAGGGAAAACATTCCTTGAAGAAATATTTAGTTACAAATTATAGCTGATTTCTGAGATAAAACTTACTTATACAAAATGTATTAATTGTACTGAATGTATTGTTTTCATAAGCAGGCAATACAATTATTCAAGATATTTTGAGACCTATAACTGACTAATGAAGGCAAATTTTAAGGATGCTATCATACAAAAAGGTAAATGTCTCTTTGAAAAAATCCATAATCACAGCAATAGTATTTTTTCTATTCAGCATTAATTATCTTAATTTCAAAGTACTCTATTTCATGTCAAAGCAACAACTAAAGGTACAACAAAGAAAGATTTAGAAAAAGTTCAGTGAAGCATAAAAAGGACAAACAAACAAATTTTTCATTCAGAGACAGTGATTGATATTGAAGCTAACAATGGGCCTTTCTATATTTGTGTTCTGCATAATTTATTTATATTAAGAATAAAAATATAGTCTTATATATCCTGTAGCACAGAAATTCCATATATCTTATGAAATAGAAATATATCTTTCTTATAGAAGAGTATTAGAAAGAAACCTAAGTGTTACGTATACAAACAGTAACTTGATTCTCCTGCCTTGCAAATAGATAATTTCCAATAAAGTGCACTTGGACTTTCATATTTTATTTGCTTTATAAACATCTATGATGTTTTACAGAAACATAAATGACTACAGGTTGCAATACCATGTTGAATCAGATCCACTCAGAGAATAATTGATAATGAAAATTATGGCAATGGTATAATTTCAAATTAAATTATAAAAAAATATGTTGACTAACTGTTTTCTCAGAAAACAAAATACATTCTCCAGCTATGGGAAGAAAAAAAAAACAGGTTAGTTTCTGAAGGAGAGCAAAGAAAAAATTTTACTGAAAGATTCAGTAAAGTATTCAGAACAATTTAGAAATTTATTAATAATTTAGAAATATACAAATAAACTTACACATAGAATAGAATAAACACTAGATAAGGGAATAAACAGGAGGATCAATTTTATCTTTCTGATTTCATTTAATATTAAAATTAAAATACTTAATTTCTAGTTTTAATTAGTGTATGAGTAAACCGCAGCATTCTAGAGGTTTCTATGTTCATATTTGGTGTGTGTCCAAATTTGTAACAGTCAAGATCTTATATGAAATAACTTTTATTTAAGATATTAAATCCAAATTCCACACTTGAAGACTAAAATTTTAGCAGACCTTCTAAATGGAAGTTGCCATAAAAGTGTAACTTTTTACATTGAGAGTAATCAGTCTTGAGAAGAAAAAAATTACATTCACAATCTGCCTTCCACATGGCATCTGCATACATACATACCCGTGTGGAATTTTTTCATTTTGAAACTCCATCCATTGTTAACAATCAAAGTTTAGTGTAGATTTTTTATGAGTTAGAATTTTCCTAAGTGTTTTACATTATTCCCTGTGTTTACTTCTAAACAAAGGCATATTTAGCACTTCTAAAAGAGTGAATTGGCAGGGAGACAATACAGTGGGTAAGTAAAAGAGATTCAAATCCTTCTGTGACAGATTTTTTACTAGAATTGAGCATAAACAGGCAAATTTCTTTATCTTTTTTGAGACTCCAAAAGCTACAAATGGTTTTAGTTGCACTGTGTATCAAAATGTTACTCAAAATTTTATTTATGTTTATATTTACTGATTATATTCTTTTTTTCAATATGTTGAACATCAGTTGAGTAAGAGTTCCACAGTAATAAAGACTTTTTCTTTGGGTCCTCATGGCTGATCACAGTGCCAATATTATTCTGCAGAGCACACTTTACGGTGTCAGTGGGAGTTCTGCATGCATGTGGAGAAGTGGCTATAGGAGATGACATTTGTCATGTGGCCCTAAAATAGTTCCTTCAGTGAGTTGTTGAGGTTTTTTTCCCACTGTAGCAGTCATTTTTGTTTTAACAGAAAACAAAACTCTAATAAACTGGAAAGAATACTATCTGCCAAGAGACTGTTTGATAAGTTTTATTATGCTTAAATATCAAAATAAAACAAAAACTGATGATATTAGCACTATTCAAAATCCTTACCTTTTTTTTTTTTTTTTCCTGATCTAGGCTTCTGTTACACCACACCTGCTTAAACAGACCAGTCTTAAAATAGACTCCAAAATATGACATTCCACTTACCCAGATATTTCTGTGGATTACATTATTTAGCTCTGTGATAATGGATTGATAACTGTTAACTGAACGTGTTACTCATCTTTAGAAGTTCTGAGGAGGAAGTAACAGCAATCTATTCAGCTTAGCAAAATAAAATTTTTATGTTTTCCTGCTCATACAAAAATGAACTATGATTTTCTACACAGAAATAAAGTTTCCCTAACAAAATTTCTAACAAATGGTTCTTTTGTTTGTTTTTCCCTACTGTTAGCTTGGTAGCCACAAAGGAAACGGACAGTGCAAGATCTCGTAGCATGCCAATGTCGCCATCGGATTTCCTGGATAAGCTAATGGGTAGGATGTCAGGCTACGATGCAAGGATCAGACCAAATTTCAAAGGTAATTTCAAAACTAAGCTTTCAGGTTTTCAGTGTTTCAATATTACTGCTCACACAAGTGCAGTTTCTGGGACAAATATGAAAACAAAGTACATTCACTGAAAAAAAATTAAAAGGTGCTTTCTTTTGCCTTTCTTTTGTATATATGACAGTTCATTTCAGTAGTAATAAACTTTACCCCTGTCACTTTCACAGCTGCCCAATTACAGGCCTTATGTAAATTTAGCTTATCATTAGGTTTCAATTGCCTAATACAGTTTGTTGTTTTCTTTTCTTTTGTGAAATGCTTGCTAATGGATTCAGATTCCCACCTTGGACTACCATAGCCTGAAACAGTCCAGAAAGCAAGTTCTGTGAAAGATAGGCCAAATCTTCATATCTGCCTGGTTCTAACTAAAAGGAAGAGTGTATTAAGGACTTGACCATAAGAGTCAAACTCAAGAGAGCTTCTCTTAGTTATCAATTCTATCACCAAATTAGATTCTTCACTCCTGTACCCCACTTGTGCTTTGAAATCCCAAAGGGACCATCTTCCCTCTCGTTCTTTTCCCTGTTCTCAGTTCTCTGCTGAAACTGCAAGTTCTCAATACCTGCAATTGTCTTTTGGCATGTGCTCTTTATGCACTTATCATAAAGAAGATTCAAACAAGACAAAGGAGATTCAAAGAAGACTGAAAGTCCAAAGTTTGAAAATAAATCATTACATCTTCCAAGGGTCTTAATATAAATCATATTATCCAGACTCAGGCATGCTAAAGTAGAGTATTTAATGAAGGACTCCACAAACTATATTTTTATATGAACATGCAAAAGTTTTTTATGAACACACATCACCCGTTCTAGTTTTCACAGTCTGGGAAGTTTAGGTAAATTCGATTGTTGTTGTTTTTTTTTTTAAAGAAGGAGTTCCAGTAATATAGTGAAACCATATTTAACTCTATTACTGAATCTTTAAACAAACTATCAGTCTTTAAATTATCCAGAATATAAATAGTGTTTTGAAAGAATAAACCTATTGTAATTAAAAATTATATTATTCTTTGCCTTAGCCTAACTTCCTGAGTCCAAGAGATTCTCTTAGCTCTAATATTTCACTACAAAGCAGGTCATGTTTACTACAAAAATTTTCCTTCACGCTGGCAGTCCTTTCTCCTGTAATTCATCTGTCACTGCCTTTCCATCTTGATTCTTATTCAGCAACAAATGTCATCATTTTTTGACATCTATAAGTCCCAGAAACTTAAATTATTTTGACTATAAAGCCACTGCTATATGCTGGTTTTGCTACAGTTCACCCATCTGATTCATAAGGACCATGCCAGCAATTTGCCAAATTACTTCCTCATCAATAAACCATAAACATTTGGTCCTGTATAAATAAACTTATTACCCAAGATTTCCTGCAGCTGGAAATGCCTTGCTTTTTTTACGTTAGTGATCTGATATTTCTCAGAAAATTATAAACATGCAATGGAATTTCAAATACGCCTCTAGTTGATTTGGGGATTGGATTGTATAGTTTGACCTGGACAGTATGCAATGACAATCTTCTGATGAGCCTACAGTGAAGAATAGGCAGATGGTTTAGAGATTAGCAAATTCAATGAAGTACTTCTTGAAAGCATAATTCAAAGGACTTGGAGCCTTGTTTTGTAACTATTGCAACTTAAAGAGACAAAACCTAATTTGACATTGTACTTTTTCAAAAAGTGCACATTCTAAATCTTCTAGACAGCTATGTGGTTTGAACAAATCTGCCCAGAATGATTCAGATCTACCACTAAGAATAAGTATCTCCTTAAGTGACTTTGCCACTTTCTGGTTAGTTGTGTTACTCCTAGAGCAAATGCTGGGGCTTAATGCCTGTTTGAGTTTATAATCTAGAAACAGCTTTAAAGAAAGAGGATGAGTACAAATAAGAGAATTCAAACAATCATTTAAAATAATTTTTACTTCCAGTATAATTCCTTTGTACATGAGCTTTTTAGCTACCCATTATAGTAATAATAAATCTTGGTCAAGAACACATGATTGTATGTTTTGTCTGAATGCTCTGCTTTTGCATAAGGAATTCTGCATATCAGTGCTTGTTCAACAGAAATAACAGAGACAACAGTATTAATTCAGTTATGGCATAAAACAAAATATTAAGAACTCTTGTAAAATCTTTGTTCGAGTTCCAACCTTTTTTTCCCCCTTACATCAAACCTACAGCAAGGTACTTCTCTTACTCAGTTTGTACACTGCAGACTATATCCATTCCTGAAAATATGGGAAGTACTTCATTGTGTTTCAGAATTTGGACAAATTATGTAACCCATGTGTGGAAAATGTCATGGCCTCAAGATGTTTGGAAATAAATTGACACAGGAGTATAGTATATTTTGAATCTATACAGGCCAGATTGCAAGATTGAAATACTAAGGTAGGAATTTGTGGCTTTACAGAGAAAAATATAAAGTGTTACTTGCCTTGGTATTGACAAATATTATTCAGCAGTAATTAGCCAAGAGGTAATTGAAAAAAAAAAAGGGATTTAATTACATATATTCTTCTGATCACTTCTGGAAGCTGTTTATACTTTTGGCCTTTTTGTTATTTTCTGTCAATAAAACCTTTGTGTTTTGTAATATTGGAAAGTATCCTTTTTTGCTTGCTTTAAATTTTGGTCTTATTTTACTGATCTTATTGCCACGTGACATACTGAGAAATGGAGGAAAGGTATTACTTCATTTTGACCTTTACAGATTTTTATACTTACATATTACTCCCTGACTGTATACCTTTTCCAATGTGAAGGGTCCTGTTCTTCTTAAGTTGGCTTTGTGTGGCAGCTTGTCACAGAAGTTTTGATCCTTCTGACTTTTTGATATTTTTCTTCCTAATTATGAGGCAGACAAAGAGGAAAATTTGAAGTATTCAAGATGGAAGTTCATGATAATAATAATCTATATATCTTAATCATAAAAGTTTTCCTAAGTTCTGCCTGTTTGGCTGGTAATGAAAGAAGGTTTACAGGGATAAAGTTCATTGTCAAAGTCATCCACCATCATACCTGAAATTTTGGGGTTTTTTAATTCAAGTGATACATGCTGGACATGGTACACATTTCCACTGATTATAAAATTGATACAGGTGATAGCTGACTCACAGTGATCCGTATTTCCACAATTTTTCAAAGGATTTTATCATGTCTGGGTTTATATCACCTCACCCTGACAGTTTCTCCTGTTCACTTAGTCTGGAACGTCTTCTACAGTCCTCATACAAATTTTCCATCAGAATGGCTCTAGTATTTGACACAGCTGGCAATTGGAGACAAACGCTGCTACAAAGACTTCATTTAGTCTGCTGCTCTGACATTCTGCACTTTCATGGATACTTTTATACCTTAATCATCATGTTTCACCTTCCAGATCTTGGCAGGATTCTATTTTTAACGCCTTGTAGATAGCTATCATTGTTGGCTTTTCTGTCTCTAGTGAGTTTCACTCTATTTCTTTTCTCCCTCTCTTTAATCTATTTCAACTTGTCTGAGTTCCTGTGTTTGAATATGACTTTCAGCTTTTACAGTTTCTCATTTGTGCTTCTTTTTGACCATATTTTGGGAAGTTCATTTTCACTCACAGCACAGTATCTTTAAATTATCTCTAAACCATTTGCAAGCTACTTTTAGCTTCTATTTTTGTGCTCCTTTTAACTAGATATTAACTATTTTATTGCAATGCTGCTTTTGAAATTAGGCTTCAGTGCTGTAATAATGTAGGGCTTTTTGTTAATAAAAGCAAACTTATATTTAAAGCATGGTACTATTTTAAACAAAATAGTATCACATCAAGTTTGAAATGATGGCAAGTACTACAACATGGAAGTGTTTGAAAGGAAAGCTGCCTTGCAAACAAATTAACTAACATTAGCAGGAAGTACAGTTTTCTCCCTGGCAGTTCCTGGTTTTTCTTTTTCCCTTGATCCTTTCAGGGGTTGTGCATGTAAAGATTCTACTGAGTTCTAAGAAGTACTGTATATGCTCAACAATTCTAAATAATTAACTGAATATCAAAGTGACTGCAAGTGCTACCTCCTTACCTGAGAATTCTGCTCCATTGATGTAGTCTTGTGTTTTACAAAGACTGAAGTACATGTTGAAATGTTTTGTTGCAAGTGCTATGCAGCACTTCAAAACAATTATTGCCTTGAGGAAAGAAAGCTGGATGTTCCAAGTTGTGTCACGTTGGCAGAATTCATGATAGACATTCTGATATTTCATTGGTCATGTTTGATTTTGCTATTTGCAAACTACAGTAGAGGCAGAGTGGTTTCTTACTTCAGTGATCCTAAAAGAGAAATATTACATGAAAGTGTGTAAGACCAGTCCTCAAATTCCAGATACAGATCTTTCATTGTTAGTGACTACTTACAACTACAAAAAGAATCCAGGCTCTACAATGCTGAACTGGGTTATTGATTTAAGAATATTGAGTTGTAGAAAGGTAACAAAAAAATTTGTGATGGAAAAGCTTGTTTTTGTTGTACACAGACTGAAATTTATAAGAAATAATGAAGAAAATGACATCTTTAAAGAGACTTTTAGAAAAATAATTTAAACTCTTTTCTGTGAAGAGGCAATTCATTGTTCAGTTATCATAATGACTGCTCTACCACTAGTGATACTTCAAAATGCAAGATAAACAGAACAACAGTTGACTGAAGACCCATGGTAGCAGAGAATTCAGTTTAAATGGACTCTTAACCGTGGTGTAATCTTAAGAGAAAGGGAATAGAATCTAAATAATTTTCCTGCAAGCAGTAGAGATAAGAGCAACATTAGTGCATTTCTTTTCCCAGTGATGACAAATAAAATTAAAGGTACCAGCTGCCTTGAGTGAAGAAAGTCACTTTTTCCTCTGAATTGTTGTGAGAAGTGATGTGCATTCTCACTGAAACACACATAACAATATCTTTACTATATATTTCAAATTGGATGTTGCTTTTTTTTTCTTCATAGAACCATCTGTGCAAGTTTATACTGAACTTTCTCTCTGTCTATTTTTTTGATTTCTAAAACTGGCCAGTCAAGTAGTGTACCTTTGAGAAAAATCAAAAGGAAATTTGTTAGAAACCATTCAATTTAATCATGTATTAAGTAAGTTGGGAATGTTGCGTTATTTCCTCCTAAGTCAGTAAACATTGTTTAATAATGGTTTATACTTTACTGTCACTCAATAAGCAAAAATTCTGGAACAGGGACTGGTGTTTTTTCTCTTTTGCAGGTCCTCCAGTTAATGTCACATGCAACATATTTATAAACAGCTTTGGATCCATTGCAGAGACAACCATGGTAAGATATTTTAACCAATCAATGTTTAAAGTTTGAATTAAATATGTTCCAGAAGCTCTAAAGCTACCTAAGGTTTCTCTTCACCTGAAACTAAACAAAGAAGGAAATTCACTTCTGAGAATGTGAGAACATCTAATTTGGCAATTGATTTTTTTTATAACAAAAAGTCCATCTTTATACCATCACACAGAAGTAAAAGTAAAGCCAAGAGTTGATTTTTTAAATATATTTCTCTATAAGTTTTATTTGACAGTTGTAATGAAATAATTATTAGATAGATACTAATTTCTATAGTGTTCCACTTTTCTAATCTCAAAAATGCCAATGCATTAAGTTGCTTTGTTCATAATGTTTTGTAATTTCATTATATACAGTGAATATGGAGATCTATACTTTATTTTAAAAGTCCTTCTTCCATAAAGCTATTGCACAGAGATACTAGAATAACTAAAACTTTGAACTCATATATAAAACTTGAGTAAATATAAGTGGATTGCATGCCTTTGTACATATGCTTACAATTTGTCTAGTAAAGAAAGGCATATGATAGAGTAAATAAATATTGGACATTTTAAGACAATAAGGAGAAAAAGAGGTCAAAGTCTAAAGGTAGTAAAAGTAGATATTGAAGTGTGAACTGACAAAAAACCCTTGGATAATCTCATTTAACAGGAGAAACATGTATGCTAATAACTTGGAGCACAAAATTAATCATTAGAATTTGGTTAGAGGGGACATATAGGCATTCATTTTCTATGCAGTTGCTTCACATCTTTTGGAAGAAAGGCAAAAATACCTCTTTGAAACCAGTTACATAGTAATCTGGGGACGGAGAGGGTTAAAATACAGAGAAGTGACAGAACTGTGTGAGTTTGTAAGATCTAAATATAGTAAATACTCTGAAATCCCAGTAGTTTCAGGGTTGTACTTGGAATGACCGAATAGAGACTAAAAATAGTCAATATAGTTAAAAAAAAAAAGAACCAAAAAAAACCAAACCACAAAAAACCAAACAAACAAAAAACTCAAACAAAAACAAAAAACTAAACCAACCAACAAAAAAACCCAAACAAACAAAAAAAAAAAAACACAACTCCCCCCCCCAAAAAAAACACAAAAAAACACTAACCAAAAAAACAACTTAATGTAACCAAGGACCTGTAGTTAGGAGAACAATAAGACACATTCATGAAGTGAAATATTTACATTCCCTATGTCCAAAGTAATATTAACAACTGCATGATCTTTACCTACCTTGGAATATGTTAGTAGAGGTTTGTGAGAGAAGTAGATGATTTTTTTCCAGTTAGAAAAATGACTTTAATTTGTATTTGGGGGCCTTTCCAGATTGCAAATCCTAAACAGATTGACATGGCATCTAAAGAGATTTATTCAGGTTCAATCAGAGGATTAAGCAATGCCCACATTATTAGAATAGTGTTCAGCAGCTACTTTATGATGTCTGGATGAGTGAATCTGGTCCAAAACAGGAGACAGAGCATGGGGTCAATAAAGTGCCAAGATCCAGCCACTACATCACTATTTAAAGGATGTCTTGAAAACTGGAGTTATTATCACTTACAAAAATTGTCCTGAATTTGGGAAGAGAATGGCTGAGTTCACATCTGAAGTGTATTTTCTCTCCAAACCCAGAGAATTATAAACATTTCCTTTCAGTGCCACTTCGTAAGTTAGTACAATACATCTATTTTATAATGAAACTACATTCTGTATGGTGTTACCTTGAAAGCAGATTAGAACAGTCAAGATAGACAACTACCTGACCTGCAACAAACAGTTCCAGGTAGTATATTATAGAAAATACCAAATCTGGTCAGAACCACAAGGTTTTTCATTCCCTTGATTATACGTATTCAAAAACTGGGCCCTTAAACACAACTTTGACCTTCATGATGTTTGTATTCTGTTTATGATGTACTCACTGATAAAGTTCGAAACAGACTTCTGCTTATTGTCACCAGCTGTTGACCTCTCAGAGACTCAGATCTTGCTTTGCAGAAGAGCAAATGCTTTTGTCTTTAATTGTATGTTTTATTAGCTTTAATTCTCCCCAACACTGAAAGCGAACTTCTAAAAAACATTAAAATCTATCTTAAAATGACAATGAAAATCATTTTGCATTATTTTAGAAACTGAATTTCTTCATGGTTTAACAGAAGTCAATTCATCAAAGTTCGATGTTTCACCAATTGTCACTATTTTATCAGTCTTATTTACTGCACTCCTTAAAATTCAGGTACCTATGTCCTGATATCCGCTATAAATCTTTATGCATACAATGATTCATTAGAACAATTCTTAGACTCAAGAAAGGCTTTTAATATTCTTGATAAATATTTATTTTACTAAACTCTAAACAGAACAGGTTAAATAAGCAACAGGTACAAAATAAAACCTGGCCACTAAGTGATACCTCGCATTTAAACAGCTGATAATGGGATATGCGTATAATCTCCTAGCTCTAAAGAAGTACGAATACATCGAGGTGCCACCTTCCCTCTCACTGTAATTCCCCTTGGCACTGTCAGTCTCTCTCCTTGCCTCTCCGGTGCTCTCGCTGATGACCAAAATCTTTGAGCTCCCTCTGCTGCCTCGGAAGTGTATAACACAGTAAACAGTCACAGAAAAACAAGGGGTTAAAAACCCGCATCGGTCGAAAAGTAGCCCAGTGCCAACTTCACATTACTGAACTTAATAGCTCTCACTAAGGTCAAGGAATCTGTCAGTGTGCAGTAGGAACTGCATAGTGTGTCTCTTAGGCAAGAAGATTCTCTTAAAGTCATCCACACATGGTCTAACAGCTCAGGAGAGACAGACAATTCTATCTTAATTTGCCTTACAGCTTGTTAACTCTGTAAACTGGTTCTTTCTTTTCTCTTCTTTTTTTTTTTTTTCCTTTTGTTTTTTACATTTCTTCCTTTAGATATGGGTTACAATTATTTCATGTTCTCTGTCTGACAGATCAGATGGTTCATAGCAGGGAAGAGATATGCCACCTCTTGCTAGGAAGCTGTGATTCTACTTGAACCTACATGACTTAAAGTGATCATATGAGGAATTTAGTTTGTGTGATGCATGCTCTGAGGAGGCAGGAAAAAAAAAAAGTAAACCATATAATTCAAAACCCCCTTAAACAAACTTCTGTCACTGGCACCATGAAGGATCCAACCTTGCCAATCTTTCTGTGCTATTGAAGTGAATGGTAGTACCATTTCTGTGCACGTCTCAATGGCATTCACAAAGTGAGGATTTCCTACTCATCTTCTAGCTAAGTAAAATTCTTATTGCTTCACACATATAAAGGAAAACCTAGGTCCAGTCTTTCATATTTTACATGTTGTACTATTCTAGGCTTTTTCACATAAGGATTAAGAAATCTGAAAGAATAAAAGATTAAAAAAATACGGAAGACCAGAATAAAATTACAATTTTTATTATGTGAAATTAACATAATTAACATGAATTTGCATGTGAAGTTTTTCACCTGAGATAGTGATGTACCTAAGTGCACATAACCTTAAAAATCAGACAAATCAGTAGGATTGCTTGGTAATGTAAAGTTAAATATGTATTGGTAATATGGGAACCATATCCTACAGAAAACCAAGTTGCTTTCTTACTGGTGCACTGGAAAATTCTGGCTTTTATCACAATATCCTGAAAAGTTCCTTACAGAGTTTTGTTGTAGCTCAAGCTGTGCCCAGCTTGTATTTTCACTGTACCTCCTAAGGCTAGAAGATTTCCTGATAGTTAAGAGCAGTGTGGTGTATATATTGCTGGCAATTACCAACAACACAACAAAAAGAACAGATTATTCAGTCTTACAGGGTAAGAGCAATATCAATGCCAACATTTTCAAATGCAGATACTCGGAATAAGAATATTGAATACACAAAACAAAGGCTACAGAACAGTTTGACTATTGGGTAATAGTAGGCCATACTAAAAAAGTCTGCCCTTATTTTAGTAGATATGACTGACCAATTTGCTCAAGGTTGTCTGAGTTTTAAAGGTACAACACTGATCTTAATGTAGGTTTACAGCAATTTTTACAAAGTGTGTGTTAATACACTTAGCATAATGCATATGCTAAAAGTGTATTGAAAGGGAAGCTCACTGAGAGACCTAATGGCAAATCACAAGAGTGCAGACAATTAACACACTGAAAACCATATGTCTCTAATTTGGTCTCGCCATGTGGTTGCTCATGGGTATTTCTTGGTTTAGTCTGAAAAGAACTGAATGTTGATAGGAAGCAGGTGATAGATTTTTCTCTACTCCCACCACTAATGAGATTGTCTTGCATGTACAAATAAAATGTGCTTTTAAACCGCATTAACCCATTTTTATGCAGTCATAATTACTCTCCTTTCAGGAGTCACAGGTCTTTAATTTCTTTAGCTTCATCTTTCTTTCAAGTAAGCATTTCTGTTTATGTTCTATTGTACCTACTCTAGGCTGTATCTCAATAGAGTGCTTGGAAGAAGTGTTCACTTGTATACATTATAAACCTTAATGCTGAAGAGTTGCACCAAATATTTTTCCTCTGATTAATCACTTAGTTTATTGTCTCAAATACATTAAAATATATGCCTTTCTTTGGTGAAAATACGCTGAAAAATCTGTATAGCAAAGTGTCAGTATTGAAGTGGCAGGAAGAAACACCTATGGTTTTTATCTCAGATGTGTGAAAGTGAGGGCTTGCTATAAAGGCTACTTTACAGGTTCAAACTTAAAAAAAATATATTTTTTCTCCATATTTGGGAATTAACTCCCTTCTATCACAACATAGAAAACTTGATTTTTCTTGTACAAGTTCGGAAGACAGTTTACTTAACATTCTTTATTTTTTATAAACTTGCCTCTGCCACCCTGATCCTGGGTCAAAGAGTCAGGACTAGACAGAGGTTTTACAAATTCTAGTGGGTCTGCAGCTGTCCAGTTTCTTACATGTCCAGACTAATCCGTGCAAATCCCTC